CTTCTGATCGGTCATTCACTCGGCTGCCCTCGGCAGCTTTGTGAATAGACCCCACAGTATACAGTATGTAAATACATATATAATTTTGTCCAGCCATGTATCTAGGGAGATGGACAAGTTAATATGGAATTCAGAAAACTGTCTGTCTAGTTCAGGAGGCAACAGGATTTTCTTTAGTAGCCAACTCCTTTGACAACAACTATAGAAAACCTCAAAGGTTTGCTATTCACAATAGCCCGTACAGCTCCCGATCACGGCCGAGCAGCTCAGTCGAGCGCTGAGCCGTGCCGACAGCCTGCTTCTGACAGCTGGGCGATATCGCGCTCCAATGCAATCCAATGGGGCAAAGGGTCCTGCTGTCGCGGGTCGTGTGTCGCTACAGCAGGACCCTTTTTGGAGCGGATTTAGCCGCGATTCAAGCTTGCTCAATGCAAGCTTGAACGCGACATCGCGCGGCAAATCTCGCGATGTCGCGCAAATATGCAAATCGCGCGACAAACGCGCGATTTGCATATCGCGCAGTGGGAACGGGGCCTTAAGCTGTAGCTTTAATTTTTTCTAGGATCATTCGCTCCCTGGCTCCTGGGATTTATCCAGCCCTGATCTATCTGTTTAGCTGCTATTCTGCTTTAAGATCCTAAAATCTGAAGCATACAAGCTGACATTTAAAATCATAAATAATTGTGGTGCATGTACTTTTTGAATAGAGGACAAGTTAGAGAGCAGGGCATTAGTGAGTGACATCTTTAAAAAAAAAAAACATGCCTCCACCATGCATGGCAAAATGTAACTTTCTTTTATTCACCTACCGCTTTGTTTAGCTCATAAAATATACAGTTCATCCAGGTAGGAAGAGGCATGTGATCCACTCCATGTTCTGGTGTTGGCCAGTCTCTAAGCATCAGTGCCGCCACATAGGGAGCATCTATAGCCCTATGTAAGTTATGATTGAGGCTAGAAGCTTCCCCATCCCCTGGCAGCTAAATGGAAGGGTAAAGGGATAAAAGGAGCAAAGTTAAGTTAAGTATGTGCTACTGGGATGGGAGGGGTCAAAGTGAATCTTTTGGTTTGCCCTGCATGGGCAAAACGCAGGTTCACTGTAAGGGTCCATTGAGACATTTGCATTGCAGGAGTGATTTAGCCCTGTAGTTCTGCATTCAGCAAAATCCATGCACCTTGCTGATTGGAGAGCTCTGACTTACCAGGCAGTGAGTTGGACCTCTGCAAAGAGACCATTGCTTACACACAAAGAGGCTTCTTCTCATCAGCATACTGGCAGGGGACAAGCTCTTCTACTCCAAGCTGTGATGCACCGGGAATGCATTTAGCTATTTAAACCAAAAGTTTATTTGGGGTTTAAGGTGAAATATGATAACCAATACATATCTTTGAGGAACCTAATATATAGTAGATCTGGTTAAAAATCAAACTTTCTGGTACACAGTGGGCCTTGCAAGAGCTCGAAAATTGTTTTTGTAATGGAATTAATCTTCTATAGAATCCTCTGTGTGGGATATTATGTTGGTTTGTGTACTTGTAATGTCTGCTACTATGTTATGTTACCATGTTATATTTTTGTTGGTAATGGCTGCGATCCACTTGTCATCTGCTGCTGATCCATTGCCTGTCATTTTACCGTGTCTCGTTTTCCCTCCCTATGCTACCTCCATTTTGTCACCTTCATTTTTCCGCCCGCTATCTGACGTCAACTATACTGACATCCTCTCCCACCTGCAGACTCGCAGACATTTTATCAAGGTATCCGCCACTTACTAGTTGCCCTGCGTATGCCAGTAGCTCTGCATGCATCCTGTAGATGTCAATAATTTCCTTTTAGCTAAGGTGTCTCACTAGCTGGCAATTAGCTCAGAACTAAAATATGTGTTAGGTCATGTTGTGCTGTTCTGTGTATGCGTTTCTTATATCATAAAGTAAAGGAAATGTTCTCTTTTATTATTATTTTTGCCGCAGCTTCGAAACGCATGTTCATTGTTGTAGAAGTAGATTGTTTCCTCCTCCTGTAGACATGTCACACCCATTTTTTAAACACTGAGCCAGTGGATTTAAATGTGTATGTGTGTGTCTGTTGTCTTTATGCTTCCAAATCCAGGAAGCTGAGGCAGTGGCTACATTTCATAGAATCTGGAAATTCCCATCAAAATGAGCCTCCAAGGCTCTTTCTGAAAGGCTACTTGGGTTCCAATCCTGATCCATAGGCTTCATTACTTTCTGACACTTTCTGGTACAAGTGTGCAGCTTAGGTGTTCTGCCCTAAATTGCTGCTGAAACTATTGGAAAACTATTATGAGAGATCCAGTTAGAAAGAAGTAGTTAAAAGTGGCAATAGTTTTGTCCAGAGATGCAATCCAAAATTATAGCTATATCAATACTATGTATCATGCATTAATATAATAAAACTTTGGCGACACCCTTTCAAATTGTTGCATTAAGGTGTTTCCATTGAAGAATACTGTTAATACTAAAGCATACAAAGATATTTTTAGACAATTGTGCACTTCCAGTCTTTTGCCAACAGTGTGGGGAAAGCCCTTTTCTGTTCCAGTATGACTGTGTTCAAAGAGGGATCCATTAAGACATGTTTAATGAGTTTTGGTATGGAGAAACCCAACCCTATTAAACACCTTTGGAGTGAACTGGAACACTGATTGCCAACCAGGTCATCTGATCCAACATTAGTACCTGACCCTATAAATGCTCTTTTGGCTGAATGGGCACAAATTTCCACAGACACACTCCAACATCTTGTGGAAAGCCTGGGGGCTGTTGTATCCGTAAAGCAGGTCTCACTCCATATTAATTCCCACGGTATTGAAAGGTGATGTTCAACAAACTATATAGAGTGTACATGGCAAAAACAACACAGAAGCCAAAGTATTGTTAGAGATCAAGAAAGTGAATTCTGCCGAGAAGAGATTTCGTGAAATGTGCACACACTGAGGCTGATTTACCAAAAATATTTAAAGTAGTACTGAAGGCTAATTGTTTTTTTACCCTAATGCATTCTCTGCATTAAGGTAAAAACCACCCTGCTACCTTTCCATGCCCTCTACCCACCCAAAACACTTACCTAGGGTCCACATCACTGCCGTCGACTCCTGGACAATCTGCTGTGTCCCCAAAGTTCAGGAATAAGGGGCGGGATCCTGAGGCTACTGAGGGCAGTGCAGCAAAAGGCTGCTGAACCTGCCTTTCAAATTCCTGGGAGAATTTATTGTGTGAACATTTTTAGATCCTTCAGTAAATCAGCTAAAAATATTTCCCACCTATGGTACATGATTATCAAAGGTGCACTGTAAATGAAATGAGGGGGTAATAGGCTTAAGAGACTTAAACAAAAAAAGCTTCACAGATTGTTTTATCCAAATCTTAATAGAGATTTGAATTTGTTTTTGTAGTTTATGGATGTTTTTTCATCCTTACAGAGTTATTCCTTTATTGTTTATTGCGAGCAAAGATCTGCAGAGATGATCCAGCCACAGTGATATGTTTGTAATAAGATGTTGCCTTGTTGCGACTTTTGCTAAATGTAATTGGTTAGCTTAAAATGATGTCATGTCTGCATATACTATATTAATGCTTAAAACATAGTATTGAGTTGGATGCAGCCTTGGCTTGGTAAAGGGTGTCTACCCAAACTAACTTAAAAGTAGCCACATTGCTACTTTTAAGTTTGTGTATAAGTTGGTCAATGAAGGACGATGGGCCAAGATCTGTTGACATGCACCACAATACAGCCGATTACTGCTGTCTTTTACCTTTAAGTTTTCTGCACAAATAAGCCAACTATTTATTTTAAATTACTTTATCTACTAAAGTCATCATTAAAAAGTATTTTTACATGACATACAGTATTTGTGTTTCCATTTGCACAAAGTGTACCATTTTAGCTGCATTGTTTCCATCAGAACAAGTGATGTGCAACAGATTGTAAAAGCCAAACAGTTAGGCCAGTTATTACATTGAGGCTTCTATTTATGGGCCCCTTGCTTATGTCAGGACTACTGTTCTCCACATACAAGTCGTTAGGAATGCAAAAGCAACTTGAAGCAATTTAGAAGTTAATATGCTTCTAATATGAGCTGAATGCATCTGAAAGCATGTTGTATTGCCCATCTACACAAGTCCCTACTTTGTTCTTTGTAGTATTAGAATTCAAGCAAGTGCAAGATATATTCTAATTGGTTGCTATGGGTCACCGTATCTAAGAACTAGCACTCAAAGTGCACATATAGCCCAGGCTAGTTTGGGATAGATTAGGGGAATCTGTCAGGTTTTTGTGTTTGCAGTGCCTTTCTAGAGTTGTTCCCTTACCTCCTCTCCCTCTGGCAACATTGTCACCAGGACAGGAAGGGAGTGGAAATCTCATTTAAGTCCCACTTTCTGCCGTGGTGCTGATGTCACCACAACAGGAAATGAAGGGATATATGCCAACAGTCACATGAAAATTTTATGTTCTTTCAAAAAAAATTAACATGCTTAAAAAAAAAAAGAAAATAGATCTGACAGGGGTTCTGAATGTTCCCTATTCTGTCCCAAACTGAAAAAAAACTTGTAGCTTGAGATACACCTTAACAACAAGAATAGTTATGGAAACAATACTTAGATGGGAGTAATGTTCTTTTTTGTCCTTTAACACTGACATAATACTCCATTAACAGTGTCAGTGGTCTGCCATTGTTCTGCATGCACTTTCTGTTTCCTCACAGCTGCATGAAAGTCCCACTCACTCACTTCCCTGCAGATCCTTACATAACATGCCTTATCTGTGTGCCAAGCTTCTCATAATAAAGGTTTTATTTTCTGCAAAGTTCTATACTCTGTGTGGGCTACATCAGTTTACTCTTGTACATTTCTTCTGCTTGTATTCTGTATTTTCACTACTTTTTTATGCTTCTTCCTTTACACCCAAATCCCACCTTTGTCCCATCTGTGGTTGTCTCCTTCCCGTTTCTTCTCCTACTTTTCCTCGATGCCACCAGATCCCAGCCCTTACCCCACCCATTCAGGCCTTGACCACGCTGTCGTTGGAGGAGTGGTAGCCGTGATCGCCTTTCTGCTGTTCTGCCTGCTTATTGTCTTGGCACGCTACTTGATCAGACACAAAGGTAAGATCCTTCCTAGAGTTCTTTATCTCACCATCACAAAACATTAGTGTCTCTAATGGGGGTATAAACGTGAACTGCTTAAAGCAGATGTAAACCAAATCACTAACATCTCATATATGCTTAAACATGTTAATACAATTTTAAAAGTAATTTCCAATATTTTTCAATCTGCAGCTTTCATTAATATAATTCCTGAAGATCCTGACATGAAAGCCTTTTTTATGCTCTTCCTGTTGTTAAGTGACAGCACTCTGTCTCCTAATTGTGCTACTGCATCATCAGTTTTTTATACTGGTTTCCATTAGCTGCAGGAGATCAGCAAACGAATGATTAAAAAAAGTTTCAAACAAGTACTTAAAAAGGCAGTTGTCCATGTTACACAGTGCTTTAGAAAACGTAATGCCCTTTATATGGGGTTTACATTAGCTTTAAAACATCTACCAATTATTTATTTTTTAGATTTTGATTGAGGGAGGGAGGGTAGATCCGCTGTCTGCTTTTTATTTCTGTCTGTGTCGCCATTTTGGTAATTGTGCCACAATTTACTTCCAGGTAAAACTGTGTTTTACAGTAACAAGCGGGTAAAACGTAGGTTCTATCATACATTATGACATGCGTTGTAATCAAGCCCTAAAATTACGTATATTATCTAGAGAATCAATAAAAAGAAGTAGGGATGCACCGATATATCTGCTCTGTGTCCCAGCGGGGAGGAGAGAAACTGTGACAGGCGGCTGAGCACTGCGGGAGGAAAGCACAGCGAGCGGCCGGCATCTCTCCTCCCACACCGGTCAGCCTCCTATCACAGATCAGAGGAGAGCAGTGTGGGTCGGAGACGGCCAGCGCTGTCACAGCAGGCTGAGCTCCTCTCGCTCCTGTGACAGCGTGTCAGGAAGGAGACAAGTGCAAACACTCAGCGATCAGTGATCGTTGAGTGTTTGTAAATAATGGAGTACAGAGTATAGTTACTATATCCTCAATTATGAATAAATGGGAAGTGATCTACATCACCTCCTGTTCATTCATGTTTGTAGATATAGTAAATACACTATGTTCTCATGTTATGAATGAACAGGAACACTCAGAGGATTCCTGTTCATTAATAACAGGGGATGCAGAAAAAGAGATTGACGATTGTGTCCTCAATCTCTTTTTCTATTTTAAAAGGGAAATATCAGGGGTGTATTTATACCCTTAATATTTCCCCGAAGCCCCTAAAAGTAACGTAAAAAAGAAAAATATTTAATAAAAAAATGAATCAATAAATATAAAACATTTTTAAAGTTTATTAAAAAAAATGTGAAAAAGTTAAAATAAAAAACATTTTTGGTTTCGGCCTGACATTTTGTTTTTAGTTTGGTTTCATTTTGGAAATTTTCATTTCGGTGCTCCTCCAAAAAGAATATATGCTATAATCTCCCATCGTTTACTACGAAAAGTCGAGGATGATAATGATGATGTTGCAGTATTGTCTATTTGTCCATTTTCAGGCACCTATCTTACTCATGAAGCCAAGGGATCAGATGATGCTCCTGATGCTGACACAGCCATCATCAACGCAGAGGGTGGACAAGGCGGAACTGATGACAAAAAGGAATATTTCATATAAGCTCAACTCCTTCTCCTTATAATGTCACAACGGCAACAAGATCAACAAATAGTTAACAACGGAACAGCAAAAACAGCATCGGAAGAACAAATTGTTACCAATGTTTTGGCAAAATTTGACTTGGATGACTCTCTTTCTCTAACAGGGCCAAAAACAGGATGGAGGGGAGAGAAAGGGACAGTCGACTGAGAGATCGTGCTTCTTAAACAAACTTGTACAAAAGTTATTACTAAAAACTCTTTAAAAGGTTAAAAAATTGCTTGCTTAAATCTACATATCTTCAGTGAACGCACTATTCTAACAAACAAATAATATTCGTGAGTTAAAATATTTTTCGTTTATTTTCATTTACGATGTGTACAAAGTTTTATGTTTTTATTTTTTACTTTGGAATGTTGGGGGGTGGGGCGAGGGTGGGACAGTGGGAGAAAGCATATTTAAATATATTTAGTGTTTTTGTTCTTTGTTTATTTTTCAGGGTAATTTAAACAGGTAGGATAGGCATTTTCTAGAGAAGAGTGTTATACGTCAGGAATACTTGAAGAGCAATTTCTAAGGTGCCACAATTAAAGCTTCCATTTAAAGACCTGTATAGCTACGGCTCTCATGATCCCTTTTTGCAGTCGGTGGCGGCTTTTAGCTCTGACTTTGAAAAAGTTATATGAACGTGCTGGCACTTGAAGAGTGAGACGTTAAGTGAAACGCTGGATTACGGGAAGTTATGTTCAGGAACATAGGTGTAGTTCCCAGTAAAGTCCCCCGCTCCCATCTTGGTTGGGGGAGGAGTTACGTGTCCCTAACCGAGTTTGCTTATGCTAATCAGGGTCTCGGTTTCGCACAGAAAAAAGGCACAGTGTTATTTGTTTAGTGTCATAAATGTTTTGCTATGTTTACATTTTTTTGTCATTAGCCCAATCCAAAAACAGGTCTTAATGGAACATTTTTTTGTATGGTAAGGTAAATGACTGGCCATTCAAATTGTTCCATACTGGAAAGCAATGGCAAATGAGCTACTATCATTTGGGCTGTTTGAGTTCATGGAATATTCTGATTGGCCAGTCAAAAAAAATAATTTCCACGAGAGAAGTGGTACCTTCCGCCATATTTGCCACATGAATGCCTCATGAGGTCATTTGTTGTTTTAGCAGTGTGGACTCCATTTTTCACAGAACTGACTGCATTATTCATCTGGAAGAGTTACTGATATTAACCAATAAATCTCTGTATTATGTCATACTCTGTATGTACCAGGCTTGGCATAAATTACTATTATTATTTTAATTGTTGTTTTCCTGCTATGTCAATGTTGCAATGTCCATCCTTTTTATACCGTTGCTTCATTTGCAAAGATCTTTATTTAATAACATGGCACAGAGGGCAGTGATGTGCAGTAATTAATAGTAACTGATTCCAGCTCTTAGCAGTATAGCACAGTCAGACTAATGAAAGTTGAATTCTGATTGGTTGCTGTGAATACTGCACTTTGCACATTGCTCTTTGCCATAGTAAATAAAGGCTTATTTACATCGGACTCCTATTGACTATGCACGTCTGTCTATACATGTTATGAGAAGTCATAAGCCAGATCGTGTTGATATTACTCAGCACAAGGGCTTTGCTTATTAGCAAATGTACAAGTGTAAGCTGGAAAGGAAATATGAAAGTAAATTGGTTGCTGTGGCTTACTGTATGTCCCTTGCTTGAGTCTTTTGCATTGCATGTACCATGGTTGACCATTATCCAATCATCTCTTGATAACTGGAACATATTCCACTTTCAAGCATGATCATCTCACCTCCAGCCCCTGTAATACCTGATGCAAATTACCAGGCTTAATAAGTAACACAGTGCAAGGAGCAAACTGCAGTACAGCATAGTACAGCACCCAATCAGAATAATTCATTTTGATTGCTTGCTAGGAGTTATTGGGTACGTTATGCCATGTTTTAAATAAGGCCATATACATCAAGTGGCATACAGGTAAAATATGACCCAACCTCAGGCAAACAGATCAATGTTGACATTATAGCTAATCTTTCAGATGCTTTGAGGAATGTTATCACTAGCTATGTATGCTCCAGCCTGCCGATTTAATTGCCCTGGTGTTGGCTACCAACTAATCTGCATATTGACACATTAAGCTGTCTTAGCTATTAGTCACTTAGAAAGATTCCATGGAAGGTAGTCTTTGTGGGTTTTATTGGCAATTCCTATTGTGTGGCTCCTGTCACCACCCACTGCTCTGCCAACAGAGAGTCTGACAGGAGCATTGTTACCAGGCACAGCTGAGGTACCTTTCAGTCCAGAAGGCTTCCTGAAGCTTTTCTTGTTATGGGGTTGTGAATATCTCTGATGTTTTGCCATGTGATATTTGTGCTTGTTCTGGGGTGAGCATAACAGGTGTTAGCATAGCACAATAAAGTTTCATTTTTGTCAGGGAACAGCTGTCCTGCAGTTTGCACTGTTCACACTGAACTACCTAGGTGGCCTAATAATTTAAAGTGTATGTAAAGGCATTTTTTGGATAGCATGTGGAATGGTTAGACCTTCTGTCAAGTTTATATTGCTTCCTCCGTCTCTGTTAAGGAGATAAATGTCCACCATTGGTGACGATGTTACCATTGTCGCCAACACAGAAAGTGAGGGGAAGACCAACATTTTTATCGTTGTCACCAGAACTAGAGATGATGGAAAATCTTACAAACAGAACACCTAGCTTTTGGGAGCTTTCCTTTAACTTTCTTTTGTGTCTTCAAGACAGGAAGTGAATGAAGGTCTCCCCGACAGGACATAGCTATTCTACTTAAAATTAAAAAGGAAATTCTCTGGCCATACAGTATACTTTATTTGGTCCAAACCAAGGACATAATTTAAACGTGTAACTCAAACATTAGAAACCATCCCTCTGAAAAAAAAAGGACTGAACAAGACTGGATGAAATTAAAAGTGTTAGTGATGACTAGAGCAATCAAGTTGTCAAGCTCAAACTTATTAAAAAAGAACAAAATAGCTGAAAACATACTGGTTGCTATAGCCAAAGCACACACTTTTTGTTAAGCAAATTTTGTCCATCTAATTTTATGTTGGTTATATGAACACCTTCAATGAGAAAGTATTGAGGCTTTTTCACACTATCCATATGGTTATTTGGCTCAACATTAACTTTGTTTTACCCCAAGTTCTGTGTCCCAGCTTACAATACACCCATAACAAGATGTTGATACCAAAAATGCCACAACATACATGTGCTCTTAATAACCGAATTCATGCTTAAAGCTCATCTAAAGTGAAATCACGTTCTACAGTCTTCTGCCCAGTGCCCATCCTTCTACCCAACCAGTATGCTAAAAATCCTTGCCAAATGTAGATGTCTTCAAAGAAAAGCTGCTGCTTATGCTGCAATGACCGGTCATATAATCAAACGCCTAAGCAATGGTCATATAACCTTAGCTGAAGGGAAAGATCAGCCTATCAGAACTGGCATACTCCCCATATGACCAAATGCCTTCTCTGAGACAGATACTTCAGGGGTGCTTTTAGCAAATTTGAAGTGAAGCCAGTGGGTTGGACAGGAGGATGGTGCTACTTCAACATTAGCTTTGCTTTAACTGTAACACATTAAAACAGGTTGCTCTGTTTTTCGACATACAAAATGTTGCCTGTAACAACCAATTAAATCCCACCTTTCCAGTATAAGCTAAAATCTGACTGGCTGTCACTGTACGAAGGGTGATCAAGCTTGCCTTACTGTGAAAGACAGCTGTAAGCTGAGGTCTGATACCATCATACCTTTGGTGACCAGTGAAATCTTGCTTTTCATTTGCATGACTATCACTATGACTATTCTTCATCTATAATCTGCCATACGATTGGTTGCCATAAATCACAACAATCTTAGCATTTGTTTTATGACATTAAATAAGTAGATATGAACTAGAAGTACTGAAGTGCTGCATTAAAAACCATATATACGTTTTGGTATATAAAATTAATTGGACTGTTCATTTGGTATGGTTGTTTTAACCATAGCAATATATTATTTTCCTGTCTATACACTATGTACATTTGTTGTTTTCACTGAACTTATACCTCAGTATTCAAGAGGTAAAATACCTCAGTATTATCTCTTCCAGTACAGGCTTGATTAAAGGAAAAGACTACCCAAAATTGGTTTCTAGTTTTGAATGGATTTTTGTATGTTCAGTCTTCTGCAGTCATCTTTATGCTGTCAGGGATGCGGGAAGGGAGATCTCTCCAAGCTCTATGCACCTCTCCTGTCCTAACATTGTTTGTTAAACTGTATGCTCGAAGCTGAACTCTGGGCAAATATAGAATATTTAACTCCTCCCCACTCTATTATTGATGTCTCTGTTTGGTGGTGACACAAGAGTACTCCCCAATGGGGTCACACATGGCGATAACGACCTTAAAAAAAATCCAAGCCTTCCCCACTGTATCCAAAATAATAAGAAATGTTTTGGCTAAAGCTCTTCTTTTCGGGCTCATATGCAGGAGACTTAGAAAAAAGTCAAATATAGTATGTTTAGGTGCTTCTGTTTTGCTTCGGTCGGCTTTGTACTGCTCAAAGAGTTGCTTTGAGTAACTTTTACATGCACAGTGACTTGTATGGGAAAGAAAGTCAATTGTGACCCAACTAAATCTAAACACAGGAGCTTTCATGCATTTTAAAATACAGCTATTATGTATTATGTAATAATCCTTTGTTATTTATAAATGTTTAGTTAAATGTAATCCCTTGCACTTCTGCACTTAAACATAGAGGGGAAGGCCTGTGCTCTCAAAGAATTAGAATCCGATGCAGTGCTGGCTCTCCAAAATGTTTGCATGCACTGTAAGAGAGGAGAACAGGGAGATGGCTTTATTGGTGTGGAGATGCTCCTTCATTGTCCAATCAACACATTGACACAGGAAAGGTGACCAATCTATAGCTGTTTGGCAGGAGTTCAGCTTTTAGTATATGGCTATGCTCAACTTCCTGGATTTGCTGCAGGAATAAGCGGAGGAGATAAAAGAATATGGGTGACCAAACCATTATAATAAAGCTTACAGAAATATTTAATGCTGTGGAAGGGAGGGGGGCAGGGCTGTCCTTCCATCTAAGATCCCCATCTATTAATAGGTTAACAGGTGACTGAATGTACCACTTCCACTCAAAATGGGAAAAATCTGTTTACTTATGTTGTAACCAGTTTTCTGGTTTTTATTTTGGGTTTTGGAGTTAACTAATCACTCTCTGTCCACCCTGTACTCAACAATCTTTTTTTTTACAGTCTGTTTGCTCTTGTTATGCAGCAAATATACAGTATATACATATATATATATATATGGTCCAGGTGCTTCCCAGTCAGTCTGGTTTGCTGTTCTATATTTGTATGTAGATTAAGAAAGAAACATGGCCGCTTTTATGAGTTGAAAGAGCTTCCTGCAGGGAGGAGACTCCAATATATATGGATGCGTGTCTAAATGACTGTGCTGAATGTAGTTCACTATATGTTTGTACCTTTCTAAAATATATATCTCTATATATACTCAGTCTGTGAAAATACATCTTATGGGAAGCCTATGGATTCTAATATGGCTCATTATTTTCATGCGTAGATGGGGTTCAATATACACCTGTAGCAGGCATTATCTTATGTCCTAAAATTAGGTCTTCTCCTAAATACACATATACCATGTAACTGACAGGTTCACATTATTATGTGAGTAGGTCTACACTGTGTGCAGCAGATCATATGCTCTACCCCTTGGTGATATGGAATATCTCATGGCTGGAGCTGCCACTGTATGGCTTTGAAACAGTGCTGTAAACATTCTACATTGTTACCCTGAATTCCATTGCCCGAAGAAGCAGGAGGCAGCTGGGGTTCTTAAGCTGCCCCTGGAGGGCATCACCTGGGGCTACACTTTCAACTTACCTCCTGATGGCCAGCCCTAGTTGGGAAGGAATGTGCTCATCCTGAAACCACAAACAGCAGAAAAAAATGGAATCTTGATAGTCTGTTGGCAACCACCTTTTGTGTTCTGTGGCATGTTAGCTTTTTTAATAAAGATCTCCATTATCATGTAAGACTACATATGCTAAATAAAGTATTTAGTTTGTGTTTCTTGGACAGTAAAGACTGATAGTATGACAATCGGTTTTGTGTAAAAACAGTGTGACATCTCTGCGATTACTACATTGTTTAGATTCTATTTTAGTGGTTCTAAATTATACACAGAGAACTTGAAGCATTTGATTAGATTACCATAGAACATTACTAACAAAATAACAGCTATCTACTTTGTTGAAGCACAGCTGAACTTTCATTTCTGTTCACCTAACTACATTCCAGGTGCATTAAAAGGTGTGAAAATGCTTACTGTTCCTATTTTCAGTAAGCAGTCGCATCCTTTGTAGCATGCTGGCAGAGGACAGGCTTATCTACTAAGAAAGATCCTTGCTCTCTGTGCGGAAGCAGCAGTCTCTTTGTGGAGGTCTGACACATCCCCTGCTGAGTCAGACCTATA